CCAGTTTGTTAATTTATTGACATTGTTGTGATTGATGGTTTCATGATTTTAGACTTTGGGGTGATATCTGAACAGGTCGGCAGCCTTGAGGAGGCAGCTAAAGCTAAAGAAGCTGGTGTAGATGGAATCATTGTTCAGGGGCGTGAAGCAGGGGGTCATGTAATTGGTCAGGTAATTCCAGCTGGTTTCTGGTTTCTGCTTTGTTTTAACACTGTTGGACAACCTTTCACCACCCGTCTGCTTATGCAGTCATTTGTGCATTTAGAATCTTCACCATCCTGTAGAATGCAGAGCTGCATTTTGCTGCCACTATGCAGATTAGCGTAAAAATGCTATATGCAGGGCTTGATTCAACTTCCTAGCTTAGGGCCCCTGTATCTTCTTATCTCTAAAAGCATAGCATGCATTTATAGCTTGTGTCCTTTTAATTGTCTTTTTTCATGAATGTTCTCTCAATCAGCTTCTATTTGGAAAAACAGGAAGGACTGTTTCCGCTGTTGCCAAGAGTAGTAGATCTTGTTTCAGATTCGAGCATTCCAGTTATCGCCGCTGGGGGAATTGTAGACGGACGTGGCTATGTTGCCGCATTGGCACTTGGTGCCCAAGCTGTTTGTTTAGGAACTAGGTATTATCTCGGTCTCTTGTACTGAGGATATACCAAAACAGAACCTTTTCATTATAGTTTGCATAATCTTAATTTCTTATGCTTACATTACATCGGTTTTTGAACATTCAGGTTTGTTGCTACCGAGGAAAGCTTTGCACATCCTATTTATAAGCAAAAGCTAATCGAGATGAGTCACACAGACTACACAAATATATTAGGACGTGCTAGATGGCCTGATGCTCCACAACGTGTCCTGGAAACACCCTTCTATGCTGAGTGGAAGAATAATTTCCCAGATGAGGAAACAGAGGAAAATCAACCCATCATAGGCCACTCTATCATCCATGGCGTGGTATGTATTTGGATATTTTATATGCCTTGAATTTGGTCACACATTCTGAATTTAGCAGTTGCATCCATTTTTCGTGTCTTTTCTGTTCACTTGTTCTAGACAGCTGCAGAAATTATTTCATTTATTTGCGGGCTTAAATATTAAAGAACTGGAACACACAGCGTTAGACCCTTAGTAATCTAGTTGCAAAAAAGAAATGTGAGCCATATATAGTTGTAACCATGAATTGTTTGACCCATAACTCTAGGTTGTCTGCTTGATACAATCATACAAAAAGGATATGAAATTCAGCATGCCAAAGGTTAAATAAAACAGTATAACACTCGGCAAAAAAGAGTTTGCTCCAGTTCAGAGGCCAGAAGCACAAAGCAGCAGTATATAACTGTTCACTTTTGCATCCAATATAAAGAACTGTGGCTTTGAAACTCAGGCAACCAATTTGAAATGGCTACCCTAGTTTATGGAACCCTACTTAGTTGTTATCATGCATCTGAAAATGGTTCTTCTAGTTATGCTATGATTTGGGAGGAATGGCCATCATTCTGCTAAATTCACCTCAGGACAGTGGAGGGTGGGCGGGTGGCTAATAGTTGCTTGCCTTCAAACAAAATAGTAGATTATAGTGTAGAACATGCAATGATTATTGAGGTCTATGTCAGCACTCAGTTGCATCATTGGTGGTCAGACCTGATAACCTACTCGATCTGGATTTGCAGTATCTCAGCTCGGACATTCGCCATTCCCTTCAAACAAAATAGTAGATTATAGTGTAGAACATGCAATGATTATTGAGGTCTATGTCAGCACTCAGTTGCATCATTGGTGGTCAGACCTGATAACCTACTCGATCTGGATTTGCAGTATCTCAGCTCGGACATTCGCCATTCTTTCAACTAATAGTTGGCTCATAGTAATTAGTATATTTGCCTTTCTTTTAACCACAGATTGTTTTGTTCAAAGGAAGGCAAACATTGATATATTATGCAGTTTGTAGATGATGGATCTCAGTACTATAGTTCAGTGTATCACTTTTTTTTGATGAAAAGTTCAGTGTATCACTTATTGCAACTTCAATTGCATACTCTGTACTTGTGCATCTGAAACTAGGAAATACACAACTGACCAACAATTCCTGACCACAGCACAAGGATATTCGTCGGTTTGCCGGTACTGTTCCAAACGCCACGACAACAGGAGATATCGACATCATGGCCATGTATGCAGGTCAGGGTGTTGGGCTAATCACGGAGATCATACCAGCTTCTGAAGTTGTCAAAAGTCTGGTCGCTGAAGCAAAGGAAGTTACTGGTTACCAGTAAAATCCTTCCTGAACTGCAAGTTAGAACGTGTGAAGTATCAAGTATTTGTGAGTAGTCACCAATAAGAACAATTGGGAGTACCAAGGTTTGTTTCTTGTGCTATTTGTAAGTAAAAAACTGGTGAAAATAAATGAGACTACCAAAGGTATTCTGTCTGCCAAAATTTTATGCTGCTATAGTGTCATGGAATACTACCTGTAATATTTTTGGAGTGTCTTCACATAACCCTGAAGGGCCTCTGCCCTATTGCTTTGTTGCTACGTGACCTACAAAACCTAAAGAGATACAGGCCCTGTTTGGTTGAGCTGTGGCTGTGGGAAAAAGCTGCTGTGGGCTGTGAGCTGTGGAAAAGCTGCTGTGGGCTGTGAGCTGTAGAAAAGCTGAAAGCTGTTTGGTTAAACAAGTATAAAATATACCTTTTATCTTTATCTCTCTTGAAACAACTATGCAAGAGCTTTTTATTCCACCAATTTCGAAAAGCAGAAAGCCAAAAGACAAAAGCAGGGTCAACCCAGCTTTCAAAAATAGACTACGGAAAAGCAGCTGCTTCTGAAAAAGTACCCTCCAAAAGCAGCCCTTTTGGTTGGGCTTTTGGCTTTTGAGGCCAAAAGCCCAACCAAACAGGGCCATACTCTATTTTGTCTCCTTTCTGGCTTTCCGTATGATTTTGCTCAATCCACAGAGCTAAGAAACGTATGTGGTGGTCAGTTGGTGTGATGGTTCAAATTCTGAGGGCAACGCCAATAATGTGAGGGAGATCCTGGCTGGAGGGGTAGGCTCCTCTCATATGGGTGTAAGCTAACCTTACTTTGGACAACATTGCAATGTCCGTCATTAAGTTTTCCAAATGGGCAGTAGGAACTATAAACTCTGACATGGGTCATTTTTTTAGAATAATCAAGACAATGGTCACAAATATCACTGAGTAATTTGGCAATTGATAGCCCAGCGAAGAGATGGAGGTGGGTAGCAGAGACTCTTGTGGATTTGCAGAGTCGGACCCTTTTGGCGGACGCGCCTAGAAGCGCCGTGGACGGCTTCCGTCGCCGCGCAGCTCGCCGTCGTAGCCTGGGGAGCTACAGCGCCGACCGCGCCTCGCCACCAACCCTGGTCCTCCCCATCCCCAACCACTCGCGTTGCCGCCGCATCCAATCATCGCGCGGCCTCGTATCCGCACGCAGCCGACTTGCCGCGCCATCAGAGAACCGGCAGCTCGCAGCTGTGAGCTCTGAACTAGAACTACAGTACTACTGCTAGACGGGGGATATCTAAGTATTCGCCACTCTGACGGTGGCTGCCTCTCCGTTTACCAACTTTATCGTGCCAATTACAAAATTGTCCGAGAAAACAATAACCTTACTAATATTTTGCCATTTTCACTGATGTGGCACGCCACTTCAGCGTGCCAGCATAGAACTTGACGTCCCCGTCTGCCCAGCTAAACGGCGCTAGCAGCTCCCGTCAGTCCCCATCTCTCTGCTAGTGGAGCCCAGTTATCAGTACCTTCTTCTTACACGTGAGGAAGCAGTCGAAGGTGCCGGCCCAGGCGTCGCGCTTGGTGAGGAAGCTCCTGAGGTTGAAGAGCTTCTCGACGGTGGCCGGGATGGAGGAGTGCTCGAACTCCGACGTCGGGTATGGCCCCGACGGCCTATGCAGCACGGTCCCCGGCTCGATCCACGGCGACACGAGCAGCGTCGGGATGCGGATCGAGGCGGTCGAAGCCAAGAAGAAAGGCGTGGCGCCGACGATGCTGCGTCGGTGGAAACACGACCGGCGGCGGCCGGCGGCGTGGGCATGTGGTCGTAGAACCCGCCGTGTTTCGTCGTGAGGTGACGACGAGGCGTCTCTCTCCCTGCGCCCCGACCGCAGCTCCTCGTACACCCTCCTGACGAACCGCTGGCCTTCGCCACGTCATGGGGCGGTGGTCGTCGTTCCTCGGGAGGATCTCGGTCGGGTAGCATTGCTCCACGACGCGTAGTGGCGGCTTTCCTCCGGCGTGACGCCGGAAGTCGAGGTCGGCGTGGAAGCCGCCCGCAGACTTGAGCCGCCGGAGGTTCCGGTGAGAAGAGCGTCGACGGCGGGTACTAGTAGTAGATGCCGAAGGAGAAGCCCTCGTCGTGGAGCACGTCGAAGATGGTTCTGCTGCGGGAGCCCCGCCACCGCGCTTGGTGTCGTTCACGACGAGGCCGTGGGAGGTGGCGGAGTGCACGAACGGCCGGTTGAGGCTGCGTCGACGCCGGGTTCGACGCAAACCACCGGTCGCGACACGGCGAACTCCTTCACCACTCGCGGTACGGGCGCGGCATCGGGCGGAACCCGCTCATGAGCGGTGCGGACATGCCGGCTTTCTCTTCTTCTCCGCTTTCTTGCGTGAAGCCGGTCATGGGCGGCGCTAGCGATGAAATGTGAGAGAGGGAGCTAACGAGCAAGCTGAGTGGAGGAGGCGAATGAGCTGATCGAAGCGTACACAGCAGGCTCGCGGTGAGGGTGGGCGGCGGCATGGAGGAGGAGGGGAGCGAGCGATTCTTGGCGCCGTTGGTCAGCGGAGACGGAGGCGTTAACTTCCACGCTGGCGTGCTGATATGGCATGACACGTCAGCGAAAATGGCAAAATATTAGTCTGGTTACTGTTTTCTCGGGTAATTTTATAATTGGTACGATAAAGTTAACAAACGGAGAGGCAGCCATCATAAGAGTGGCAAATAGTTTGATGTCCCGCCAGATGGGGTCCGGGTGGAGGGGCATCCTGGGCTTCGACTACGGCATCCTGCCAGGCCCACGTCCATCCAGCAGGGAGGCGCACGAGCGCGTGGGTGCGCCCCCAAATTTTTTCCTTAATTACGACGACACTCGGGTGAACGATAGGTCCATCTGTCTCTGTGAACTGCAAACGACCGATGTTTCAAAGTCCCATGTTTGCAGCTGGGCCCCCAACATCTCTGGCCCCGAGCTCGCCGCCGCCGTCGCCAACGCCGCTGCCATCGGCTTCATCCGCCTCCCCGACTTCGTACCCGCACCACACCTTCCTCTTCTTCTCTTCAGTTTTATATTATGTTTCCTCTGTTAATTACTGTATCTCAGCTGATCACTGGCTGGCTACGCTGCTGACTGCACTGCAGCCGGCGCCGGATTACGTGAGGGAGCTGATACGGAAGACGAGGAGCCTGACGTCCAGGCCGTTCGGGGCGGCTATCGTGCTCCCGTTCCCGTACGAGGAGAACCTGAGGGTCGTGCTAGAGGAGAAGCTTGCCGTGCTGCAGGTCTACTGGGGTGAGTTCCCCAGGGAGTGGGTCCAAGAGGCGCACCGCGCCGGCGTCAAGGTCTTGCATCAGGTGAGACAATTTTTTTATGCAATAATTGAAAAAAAAAGAGAGGAAAACCATCCTTGCTTCATACTCTCATGATATTGTTCCAAACTTCCAGTTTACCTATTGTGATATGCCTGTCGTGCTATTGTTGTTGATTTACAGTTTAGAAATCCCTACTGTTGGTAGGGTGATGCCAAGATGGAGTGTTTATCTCAATGTGTGTGGTTAGGCTGTCACACCAATTTTTTTTTTCGCAACCGTGCCTTGGCACATTTTTCATTAAGAGAAAATAGAGTTTTTAAGAGGAAATAGAGTTTTTCGCGAACGTGGTTAGGCTGTCGCACCGGTGGTGCCTTGATTAATGGAATGGAGCAGGGGCCAGGGAGTTAGCATTGAAAAGTCCAATTAAAATTTTCTTATAGAGCAGCAAAATAAGTACTTCAAACTGCAAATGACAATATCGTAGACCCAATATCATGTGAAATCTCTGCAAATTAAGCTGGCTAATCTTCATGTTTCTGAAATGAGTTGTCATGCTATCATGTCTAATTTCTAGCGGAACTTCCCATTTCTCAAATCAAGACTGGGCCAATTATGTTTGAAATGCACACATGATTTATTTTGCTTTGTCTCTGCATACACATATTTGTGCCCAAGAAAAATGTTTGCAAGCTTATTGAAATTCTTCTAAGGAATGGAAGGCGTTTATCTTTAAGAATTTTAAACACTATACCTTACATGTTATTTGAGTTTGTTTGATGTGATTCTTGTATACATAAATCCTCCTGATCAATAGTCAGTACATGCCATAAATGCAACATCAGTGGAAATGTTTTGATGCACAATAGGTACATAATCTGTGTAAAGGTCTTTACTGCTCTGCAATGGTTGGTTTTTCAGCCCGTTCGCTTGTTGGTTTCAGCCAGGGCTTATCAGCCAGCCAACAGTGTTTTCCTCTCACAACAAACCAGCACTAGCCGGGCTTATCAGTCCAGAAACCAACCAGCGAACACGCTCAAAGATTGAAATTTGGCATGCTTCTGGTAATGTTTACTTTGTATTCATTTTTTACTGAAAAAAATTGTCCAATATTGTGCAACCAATTTGACAATCAAACTAAGTTGTGCCAACTTTTTGCAACATTTGGTATGGCAAATTTTATCAGTGGCCAATAATCTTTGGTTTTTGTTTGAGACCACAAAGGTGAATGCTTCTTTGTGATGGTGGCATGAGAACCCCAGTCCTTGTAAATTCATGACATTGTTTCTTGAGTTTAGACTTTTTGTTGATATCCAAACAGGTCGGCAGCCTTGAAGAGGCAACAAAAGCTAAAGAAGCCGGTGTAGATGGAATAATTGTTCAAGGCCGTGAAGGGGGGGGTCATGTAATTGGTCAGGTAAATGTAAATCAATTAGTTTCAGCTTTGTTGAAATACTGTTGGGCAATCTTTCAGTAAGCATACCACTGGCCAGTATTTGCTACTGCTAAAGTGCTATATGCAAGGCTTGATACAGATTAGGGCCCATGGTCTCGTCTCTAGTAGCATAACATGCTCTTATAGTCTGTGTCCTTTTAATTGCCTTTTCTCATGAATATTCTCTCAGTCAGCTTCTATTTGGAAAAGCAGGAAGGATTGATTCCACTGTTGCCAAGAGTAGTAGATCTTATTTCAGACTCTGGCATTCCAGTTATTGCTGCTGGGGGAATTGTAGACGGTCGTGGCTATGTTGCTGCATTGGGATTTGGTGCTCAAGGTGTTTGCTTAGGAACAAGGTATTCTCTTGGTCTCTTGTATTTCGATACGAGGATACATCAACATAGAGCCTTTTATTTGTAGTTTGCATAGGTAATGCTCACATTATATCACTCCTTGAACATTCAGATTCCTGGCTACCGAGGAAAGCTATGCACATCCTATTTATAAGGAAAAGGTAATTGAGATGAGTCGCACTGACTATACAAATGTGTTTGGGCGTGCTAGATGGTCTTATGCTCCACAACGTGTCCTGGAAACACCATTCTATTCTGGCTGCAAGAATCTCCCAGATCAGGAAACAGAGGAAAACCAACCCATTATTGGGCACTCTATCATCCATGGTGTGGTATGTATTTGAATATTTGATTTGTCTTGAATTTTTTTGAGCTTACTTTGCAAAAAAAAAAAAAAAAGTGTTTTTCATGGCTTTTCTTCTTCACTTATTCTGGCCCTGGTGTGTAAATTATTTCAATCGCGGTACTACCTCCGTCCTAAAATATAAGGGATTTGAGTCTGTCCTAAGTTAAACTATATTTTAAGTTTGAACAATTTTCTGTAAACTCAGATTTCAGGACGGAAGTAATAATAGAACTAGTGCCTAATGAAAGCTCGGATATCAGAACCTTAGTAGCCTCGTTGCAAACAAAATACATGAACTCTGGCAGCCATATTAAAATAGCCACAATGGTACGCAGGATTATATTTGTTCAATATTCTCCTGCGTATTTGCGAAAAAAAGAATTATTCAATATGATAAACCTCAAAACTTCCTTTTAGGTTTTCATCAGTCAAAAGGTCGGTTCTCTGTTTAGGTTACGTTTTCATGAACGAGCATCATTCTGCTAAATGTACCTTGGGACATGGTGAGAGTTGGTAATTAGCTACTTTGCTTTGAATCAAAATGGTTGCTTAAAATGCTGTTTTTCTAGTACTGGATATCCATGGTTGCGTTCAAGTCAGTAGTTGTAGCGGTGTGGTAAAGCATAAGGCTATTTTACTTTTGCATCTGGATTCGTGGTATCTCACCGTGGACTATTTGCCATTTCAACTAATTATTGGCTCATAGTATTTAATCTATTTTTCCTTGAACCAAAAGGTTTAAGTGGAAGCCAAACGTTAATACACTGCACATGATGGATCTCAGTATAGTAGCTCGGCTATTGCAACTTGAATCACATGTTTTTACTATGCATCTCAAAAAAGGAATGGGCTACTAAGCAGAAATTTCTGTTTCCAGCACAAGGATATTCATCGATTTGCTGGTATTGCTCCAAACCCCACCGCGACAGGTGATATCGGTAGCATGGTCATGTATGCGGGTCAGAGTGTTGGGTTAATCACAGAGATCATACCAGCCGGCGAAGTTGTCAGAAGGCTGGTCGCTGAAGCGAAGGATGTCATCAGAGAAAGGCTTTCTGATTTCCATTAAAAGTCCTCTAGGACTGAAAGTTTTATCTATAACAAACGCATGATGTACTTGTAAGTAATCAGCAATCACAACAAATGATAAATATCACCAAGGTATCCTTTCTTTTCTATGACACAATGTCCTTGTATTGTGTAGTGGTGCAACATTATGGGTGCGGTGTTTGCTTATTTGTGCTGTTTGTAAATCATGGGTTCATGGCTAACAAATAAAATGAGACTACCAAGGCATCCTGTCTTACCAAAATCTTTGCACTACTATGATGTACTCCCTCACCCTGGGTACTTTATTGATTGATCTAACTTTTATAGTCTTCAGGTCATTAATTCCCTTTTTTTTTACATAATCTTGCACTATATCATTGTACCAAAAGAAGTTACTAAAGATTACCATATTATGAAAGCACTTGTTATGATGAATCCAATGACAATGTACTCAATCTATAAATGGTTTTATACATAATTAGTGCCATTTTTGCAAATATTGACCACGCACACCCTGAAGTCTGAAGTTAACTGTGTTCTTTGCTTTATTTTAGTTCCAACTCTGGGCAAGCTGACCAGTCACCATGTATGCATGAATGATGAGTCTAGGTCTGGTGGTCTAGACTATTGGTCTAGGCCACGTTTAGTTGGTCACCAAGTTGGCGCCGACTGATTTCTCGAAGCACTGTAGATATAGTAACTTGTTCGTTTTTATTTGGTACTAATTGTCCAAACATTGACTAATTAGGCTCAAAACGTTCGTCTCGTAAAGTACAACCAAACTGTGCAATTAGTTTTTTATTTCGTCAACATTTAGTACTGCATGCATGTATCACAAGTTTGATGTGACGGGGAATCTTTTTTTTGCATAGTGTCAAAGTTGGTATTTTGGATGAACTAAACAGTGCCCTGGTATCTATTCATTCGTACAGAGTTTGGATTTAGCTGGGTGTTGCAGATATATTGCATATGGTGTGTTGAAACGCCGTGCATTGATGTTGATGCAATTGGTCGGCTCTTCCACCGACCAGCAGCTTGCTCCAGCTCTGGACCACTCGCAAATTGAGTGCCCAGACCCGTTGAGCTTCTGACCAGATCATGGCGGAGGTGGAGAGAAGGAAAACAACAAAGGTACCAGCACAGTGATATTTTCGGGGCCACTCTCTGTCTCTGATGGCTGATTTGATTTGGACACTGACATGGATTTGTCCACAGGTAAATTCAACCATATTGGAATCATGGCATGTGTCTGATTGATGAACAATAAGGGCATCAGGGCAAGCAAGTGCTCCGTCAGTCAATCTATGTATGGGATGAATGAAAGAATGTTGAACGGCATCAGACGCAGTACTTGCTTTGCATTGCTTCAGGATGGATGGATGCTGGAGGGTTATGCAGTCATGGCATCGTTTCCACGATTGCTTCTTTCTCAGTACTAGGAAGCAATGCAGCCTTTTATTCCTTGTGATGATGAGAAGATCCAGTTCGTTCATGACTGCTCAAATAAAGAAAGCCTCAAACACAAATGATGGTGTCTAGCTCCAGCAAATCAAATGTACACTTGTTCAACATGACAACATACACACACAAGAGACGAGAAGGACCCAGATTCGTCTGTAGGATAAGGAGACTAGTGTGTTGTGTACCCGTGGTCAACTGTCTGATACAGACTGTAAGCACGTAGGAGTACCGGAAGGAAGCTACATACTGCAAGGGTCTGCAATACTCTTCCTGGTGGCTACCGTCAGCACGGCTGTATACCACAGTACTACTGTAAACGAACAGCGTTACAACTAGGCTGGCTGATGTTTATTGGTGTGCGTGCGTGTCGTGTGTGTCCTCCTTGTTCAACAGCAAGCCATGTATATATATATCAGGCCTGTTTAAATTTAAGTGTAAAGTTTTAGAGTGTCATGTAAGGTGTCGTATGGAGTGTTTGGATATTAATAAAAAATAAATTACAGAATCCGTCAGTAATTCACCGGACGGATTTATTAAGCCTAATTAATCCGTTATTAGCACATGTGTTAATGTAACACCACGTTGTCAAATCATGGACTAATTAGACTTAAAAGATTTATCTTGTAAATTAGTCGTAAACTGTATAATTAGTTATTTTTTAAATCTACAGTGTTCAAACATTCGATCGAATTACGCAAGGCCCATGCACCGTGCCCGATGAAGCGTACTACGTGGTCACGCCACCGTACCTGATGAAGATTGTGAAACTAACCTTCGTTCCAGTGCTAATAAATCTCCTAGCAATTAAGACGGACCGTACGTACCAGCAAGCACATGTCAGTCACAAATACGATGCTACACGGCGCTCGATCGCCTCTCGCTACCAACACATTTGGTCAGTGTTGTTACTTTGTTAAGTAGACGTTCCTGCAGGAGACCTGGACGGTGTTGTTACAACTCAGGTGCACCGCCTGATGAGTTGGGCAAGACCACAAATGACTCACATGCATGCATCATGGGTCTTCTGGCCGGCTTCTTCCCGTGTTGGCGGGCTCCTCCGGCCTGGCCTGGCAGTCAAAGCCCCGGAGCGGCGACGACGGACGGGTAATTTGGTAATCACCCACCGGAGCGCAGGCTGTAGCTAAAGCAGCTACTCCTGCTACAGTACTAGCACGTACAGCAGCTGTGCCTGTGTGTTTTGTTTCACTGTTACAGCGGCGCCTGCAGCTGCTACAGTAGCGTTTCCTGCGCAGCTGTCTTGTTTAGCTGGCGATTTTTTTTAAATGGTACTGTAGCACTTTCGTTGTTATTTAGTAATTAGTGTCAATCATAGTCTAATTAGGTTTAAAAGATTCGTCTTATGAATTTTGTCTAAACTATGTAATTAGTTTTATTTTTTATTTATATTTAATGCTTCATGCATGAGTCAAAGATTCGATGTAACAGAAAATTTTGAAAAATTTTACAAAAAATTTGTGTGGCACACGTTTGTGTGGTTTATAAGTCGCCTGATACTATTCGATTGTGAAAGAAAAGCATCTTATCATGATCAAGTGTGCATCGACAGGAACAGGGGGCGGAATCTGCAAGCATACAAGGGGGCATGGCATGGGCCGCTGCTGGCTGACAGCTTGCTGGGCTTCACCGATATCATTCCCCTGCGTTGACAGCGCCTGGTGTGACGGCCAGCAGATCGAGTGTCATGACTATTGGATCTAAATCAAATGATAAAAAAAATATACACATAATACAAAATATTAAACAAAAAATCAGCCAGATTATTTATATGAAAGCCAAATTGAAAAATTTCAAAAGAAAACCAAATAAAACATACAGAAGATAAAAAACAAAAAAATAATCAGATAACTGCCATATTGTTTCTATGAAAGCCAAATTGAAATATTTCAAAGGGAAACCAAATAAAATATACCGAAAAAAAATGATCAGTTCGAATAATTCTGACCACTCTTATTTATCTTACACTTAAACAAAAATAGTAAAATATGGTCCAATAAATGCAATATAGTCCTACTACCAAATAAATGAATCACGGGTCAGCAGGCCATCACCCAGACTCGCTACAAATGCAACACTAGTTAGGAGTAAAAGTCAGTAGAGAGACTACTGTACATGCATGCCTAGCCAGTGGCTAGCTGGTGGTCTTGCGACAGCACCGCCATCTCCGGCCGCAAGAACGAGGGCCCGACCGCCATGCACCTTCACATGCACGCCATCTCCACTGTCTCGCTCTCGCAGCATGCAGATGCCCGCTCAGTCCCGTCCCGTGTGTGTGGGTGTGTGGGCCCCGCGACTGATTGCCGCTCATCGCCTCCGTCGACGGCACGTAATCCAACGGCCACAAAATCGAGTGACAGGAGGAGGAAGAAAAACGTTGCTGTAGGCTAACGTAGCGGAAAGAAAAACGGCTCTAGCTTTTCGGCCCCGGATTTGACGCCGCCGGAATCCTAGGGACTTGTTTAGACGAGCGTTAGGAATTAGTATTTGATATTGTAGTATTTTTATTTGTATTTGATAATTATTATTTAATTATAGTCTAACTAGGCTCAAAAGATTTGTCTCATAATTTACAATCAAACTGTGTAATTAGTTATTTTTTATCTATATTTAATACTCCATGCATGTGTTCAAAGATTTGATGTGATGGAGAGAGAGTGAAAAAACTTAGAATCTAAACAAGGCCTAGGTACTGTAGCGGCACTGTTGCACAGTGTAGCATTTTGTTTTTATTTAGTAATAATTGTTCCATCGTTGACTAATTAGACTCAAAACGTTCGTCTCGTAAAGTACAACCAAACTGTGCAATTAGTTTTTGATTTCGTCAACATTTAATACTTCATGCATGTACCGCAAGTTTGATGTGACGGAAATTTTTTTTTTATAGTGCCAAATTCTGAAATTTAGGGCAACTAAACATAGCCTAAAATAGAATATGGAGGAAGCCGAGGATGCGCATGTTTGGGGCTTTTTAGGCTTCGTCACAGTATTGATACAGTACGTTGAAGGAACCGGAGGTAGAAAAAGCGCATGCATACGAACTTAGCCCGTGTGGCCGTGTTGGTCGTGGATTTTGAATCCATGCTCGGTGCTAGGATCCATGGCTTCGAGCTCGGAGACGAAATCTATGGCTCCGAGGTCAGAGCCACAGATTTTGGCGTCGAGCTCGGAGCTAAGATCTGTAGCTCCGAGCTCGGAGCCAAGATCTGTGGCTCTGAGGTACCGGCCACGTCAATGCCACTTAGGATGTCCTGCTGTGCACGGCTAGGCATCTCGGAGCCAAGATCTGTGCCGCCGAGACGTATTACCTCGGAGTCATGAGTCCTGACGCCGACTCCAGAGTCTAAAGATGAGTTTACGTCTCTCATGAATTAAACATAAATTTTCTTAAAAAAAAAGATCAAATTGTAGAAAATCGGGACCTACTGGCTTAGATTTGCACCGCTCCCTGCTCAGATCATGGTCCCAGGTGCGCGGGGAAGACTTCCATTGTCGTCGGGCGAGAAGGAGCTGACGGGGCGAGGCACGACTGCTGGGGCCACGCGGGCACTGGGCTACAGCACGCGGACCTTCAACCTTCAATGGGCGTGTCCACGTAAGCATGTTCGGTTGGCTGGTTCGTATCGTTGCTGGTTCGTGAAGAAGTACTGCTGGCTGGTTTATGTGAGAGAAAAATACTGTTCCGGCTGAAAATTTACGATCGTTTACGATAAGCCACAGCCAAACGAACATGCTGCAAGTCGTTGGACACAAGCATTTAAGGTCAGCTTTTTATGATTCTTTAATAAGATGCTCAATAGATATTGAGAACGATATCATAACATCTACTATACTTTTACAATCAAAATACTTTTGTCTCCAATGTAGCATAAATCATCGTGCTAATTTTATACTCATTGAGCTTTGCTAAAAAACTGAATACTATCATTTTGATTTAGGCTATGTTCGCTTGAGCTACTTTTTCAGCCATAGAGCATTGTTTTTCTCTCACAATATTTTAGCATAAGCATCAGCATAAGCGAACATGGTATTAATGAATACATAATGCTCTTATTGCCCTGCAAATTATGAAAAAAAATCATAGGGTTAGACCAGATTTATTGTTTGCTAAGAACGGATATGAACTAATTTCGTTTATGTTGCGGCCCACTCGAATATTTCCTATATATACATAATATCAAAAAGCAAAACCAGCTATTTTTATACATCCTATAATGTCTTCGCATCCTCCTTGCCGACTCGGAATCATAACTTGTGCTTATACAAGTTCGACAACTCACGTACAACAATGATACAGAGTCCGATTTCTAATTGTATTGAGTTTCATGCATTTCTGATTCCAAGACATATTGGATTTAGTGTGATGCATTAAAATTTAATATAGAGGGTAAAACATAAATATGTATGCATCATTTTCTATAAATGGTTGGTTTTATTTCTCTAATCGTAACGCACGGACATATTTGCTAGTATAATAAAAAATAGGGAAAAAAATATTTCTGCTGCATAAGCACAACAGGCGCAAGAATTCCATCTGGCAACAACCACGAGCGCAGGTGTATTCATGAATACGTACTGCGGGCCCAACTAAATGCCAGCCCACAAGGCGCAGGCTCCATGAGCCGCCCTCATGGAACCAACGACCAACCAAACCGACGTGCGCAGCCGAAACGAAACAGCTCCGTCCGCCGTCCGCCTCCCCGTTTCATTTCATCAGGAGGAGGGTTCGAGGGGTAGCAGTATCACTGGGGGAACACTACAGACACCCCAACGACCTAAGCTGATACTTTCCCCTAGTCTCCTCGGCGAGCGACACGCTCGGATCGGTCCACGCTCCAGTGCTCCGCCGCCGCCGCCGCCGCCGCCCACCTCGCCCTCTCCAATCCAATCGGCGCCCCCCCCTCGAGCATCCAATGGCGACGGAGCTGCTCCCCGTGGTGGACATCCGGGCGCTCTCGCAGTCCGACCTTGACGCGCTCGCCGCCGCCTCCGCGCACGCCCTCGCGCCGCGGACCTGCCCCGACGCCGACCCGCTCCCGCCCCTCAAGATCGACCGCGCCGTCTTCAACGAGAGCGCCGGTTCCCGGAAGCAGACCTTCTCCCGCCTCCGCCTCGGCGCCGCCGCCGCGTCCTCCTCCTCGCCCTCGCCCGCCCGTCACACCTCCTCCGCGCAGTCGTCCGCCGGGCGGGAGTACGACCCCGAGGGCGAAATCGTCGCGTACCACCTCCGCCGCCTCTTCGTCCCCGATGACCCCTCGCTCCCGCCCCCTCCCGAGTTCCAAACCCTAGCCCTACTACAAGACTCCTCCCCTCCGCCGCCGCCCCCCGACCCCGACCGGGAGACCACCAACGCCAAGGGGGTCTCCGTTGACCTGCTCAGGCTTGCGGGGATGGTGGACCCCTACGATGCCGAGCTGCGCAGGCGGACGGCCGGGATGGCTTCCGAGGCCGAGGTGCAGGGTTTTATCGACAGCCTTGCAGGGAAGTTTGTCAGCCCGAGGCAGCGGAGGAAGAATGTGGACGCTTCCTTCTTTGGGGATCACCTCCCTCGCGGGTGGAAGCTGCAGCTCGGGCTCAAGCGAAAGGGGGGACTCGTCTGGGTGCGCTGCTTCAGATACGTGAGGTTTGCCTCTTTTGCCCTGCCCTGCCATTTTTTCTCTATGCTAGTGTTAGTATCTGGAATCGAACTATGCTGGAATACCTTACCTGATGTGATGTATACTTGTTCAGAGATGCTCTAGTAGTGTGCCTGAGACATGCACAAATGCACAATATAAGTGGTGGATTGGGTTTACGAATACATGGTGATAGTGATACCTCTGGCAGTCAACGATATCAGTTGATTCTGCTTAGCTTTGGAAATCGGATGCTTCTGTTTGAGTGAATGGATGCATGTTTTAGATGTTAATTAATAATAATGTTATACTACATCACTGGAGTGAGATGTTTGTTAAGTATAATGTTGGATTGGATTTTCTGGGTTTGCAAAGACAGTCTTGGTGCTTGTCATGGTGTAGCTGCATTTGATGCTGTTGTTTAAGTATCAACAGTGTTTATGCCGTTTTGATAGTCTGTTTTCATGTACTCTTCAACGCACGCATAGTATGTGCATTCAGCCAACACTACCTGACCATGTGTCCATGGCTGTGTGATGCTTATTAGATATTTATTTTATTTTACTTATTATTGTTGCTGGCTTATGTTGGGCTTCATCTCCCAAAACTTGATTGGGACTAAAAGGCTTTGTTGTCGTTGTTGTTGAATGCAGAATGCTGATAGTTGTCTATCATGTTGATGAAATATTTGAACTTACTAATTTTTAATGGATTTGTCTGCGCCACTAGTTTCTTTCACTGACATGCAATCCAGTCTCCCCATCTGTTAGTGAGAGGGAATCTGAAAAATAAGGACATGTGAGCATTCCTATCATCTTAATTGTTCCTAATATATCCAATCATATGCACTCAGATTTACCACTTGCATTTTCAATCTACCTTTTCTTGTATAACAACACTAGAGATTATTTCTCCTCATTTAGACGTAAACTTATATATTACTATACTTTGCTTGATGTTTGCTGCTTGGATATTCGGGTTGAGAACTTGAGATGTTAAATGTATTTTTCACAATCACAATATATATTATTTGTCCTTCTAGGTTGATGCATTTCGAAAATTCCTGCCCATTTTGATTTGAGTGTTTTGGATGTCTCTTTTCTATATGACTTCAACTAGCTAAATGTGCACGCCATACTTTCCAGCCCCAAGGGAAGTCAGTTTTCTACTTGCAAGGAGGTTTCTGCATACCTCATGTCACTTCTCGGGTATCCAGAGCTCAAACCAGCCACTATTCAGTATGAAAGCACAGGACAACATTACTTGAGTGCTAACGGTGGTGATGATAGTGTAAGTTTGAAGTGTACGAAACTAAATTTTATTTACTTAAATTCACCTGTTTTAATTAATAAAGTATGTAACAGGTTTTAGGTTTTCAAGATCAAATTGGTTCAATTATGGACAAGACAAATGTACATTCAGTTTCTTCTCTTGCCTTCTCCAGCTATTCCAGTGATCCAAACGATGTGGATGAAAGGAATGTAGACAAAGTAAATGCTTATGAATGCCAGAAATGCAATTTGACCTTTGGTGACCGGACTTCATATGTACAGCACCATTTGTCATATCATGAAATGAGTGCTAAGAGGCGCAGGACTGGCAAGTTTGGTGAGCCAGTAGTAGGGAAAGATGGTAAGTTTGAATGCCCTATTTGTCATAAGACCTTTGAAGAGGAATCACGGTACTTTGGCCATGTCGGTTCTCATGCAAGGTACGAAGGGTTGACTCCTGAAGCATTTCTGGATAAGGCTACTTCCAGAAGGGCAACTAATGATTCCTCGGCAGAAATTTCATTTAGCCTTCAGGAGTTGACTGAATCACATGGACAGAACAACAAGGTTTCTTATGGTGAAGCAGGCTTTCAGCACCACAATCATTCAAACGAACATGGTGACAATAACTCTACAGTCACTGAGCTTTTTAGTACAAATTATTCAGATAATTTCATTAGGCCAAATAAAACTTGGAGTAGGCCTGAAGTGGGTCCTTCCTTTAATGATGCTCCAAGTGTATGTAGATATACAAATTTTACAGGCCATGCTGATGTGACAGTTCCAGAAAGGGCATTGATCTCCAATAATCAATCTGTTAGCAACATTAATGGCTTTGCTGGAGTGGCTATGTTTAGTGATCAGCTGGGAAGTAACCATGTTGTCAGACCTACTGCCTTTGGAACAGCCAATCATTATCAGGACCAGATTATTGATCGTGGCAGGGCTGCTCCGAGGCATGCTGACAATAATACTGTGAAAGCAAGAGATGTCAACCTCAATTCATGTGTAAATACAATATCTTTCCCTATTGCTAATGCAGATAATGAAACATCAGCTGCCCTTAATGAAGCTAATCGGTCATCTTCTACTGCAAAATGTTTTAGTGGCAGTTTCAATAACAATGATGGTGCATCTAGTGCGTCTTCCTGTTGCGGATTGACCAATAAAATATCTAGTTCATTTGGCACAGCAAGCAAAACCCAAGCTGTTGGCTCCAGATGCATTGGTGCAAGCTATGAGCCTTATGGTGAAAATTTTGGTGCTCTTAAAGATAACCCTTTTGCAAGCAAGGACAATACTGCAGTGTATCAGTCCAATTTGGGCACACAACCTGTCTACGCTGTGGCAACTAGGGCAGATTATTTTGCTTCTGGTTCAATGCAGACAAAGAATAGTGATAAAGAACTTGCATCCAGTGCCAAGGAACGGATTGATAACACGAAGAACAGAACAAGTAAAGAAGCAGGATTTGTCACTGAAGCTAATAGTGATGTCTTTAGTGGTGGTATTACTGAAAAGGGTTTTGCACAGTTCAGTAACAGTTTTACTCACACAAAGCCCAATTCTTCTGGCCGTTGTTCACTACCTGCACCAAAAACTCCAACAAATGGAAGTGATATCAACTGCATCAAGGGCTCTTCGGTTAATAGAGGTGATGTTAGCTTCACAAAGGGCTCATTTGTCAATAGACCCATCAACAACAATGAACCAAATGTAGCTAGGCTTGAGGTGATGGGAAAGTTGAATAATGAGATGCAAAACCACTATAATGATCATGCTCCTGGTTTTGACCCTCATGCTGCAGCTAGTGCTAGCCGGAATGCCAATGGCCTTGTGTCTATGCAGGCCAATTTTGGTCGCATGTCCTCTACAGTTCAATCTGTTGCTGGTGTTTCAGTGACCAGCACATCTCAAGATCAGGTAAACATACCAGAATTTGTAGACTTTCTTAACTGTTGCGCTCTTTAGCAATGATAAGAATACTGTTAAACATCTAGTGGATCATGATAATATTATATCCACTTAAATTAGTACTTCCCTTACCTCGTTAGTTGTTTTATTTCGGTTTCCCTTACCTCGTTAGTTGTTTTCTTTCGTTTCCCCTTACCTCGTTAGTTGTTTTATTTCGTTTCTCATATGTGGTTTTATGACTGGATAAATGAGTAACATAGGGTGCCGCTGTTTATTGCGTAGATGGCCTTTTAGTTCATTATTCCACAAGTCTTGCAGCAATGTAGCTTGGAAACATATTGACTATAAATAAAGAAGACAAATATCGATAGATGTCAACAATTTTCCATGACTACAAACTTTTTTATTTGCATCTTGTCAACATAGCATGCCGGTTATTCTGTTCTGCAGAAGCATAATGCCTCTTTGATTATCTAATGTGTTTATGAACTAGTATATACTACAGCTTGGTACCTGTCATCTTGGACATCAACAGTCTCCGAAACCCACATTTGACTACTATTAGTTTTTGTAAATATATATTATCAGAAAAAATCGTTAAAATATGATTTGTGAACAGCTTTTCCTGAAACTTACTAATATAACTTTCATATGGCAAATAATTATACTTTTGTGCCCAATTTGTAAAACCAATTAAAATTTTTGTTGATGGTTGTCTTGCTCTCAGAACTTATACCCTTTTTTTTTGGCCTAAACCTGTATGTGTTGGGGTTTGGTATCTTTACCAATTCTTTGTTCTTGATGTCGTTAGCATGTATCAAGTGATTTCTGCCACATGAATATTCATGACATTTAATGCTGGGTAACAATGTGATACTTTGCTAATTTTTTTAAACAGTGTGATTTGCAACTTGGATTTGGTGCACAGAAGCAGCAGATATTTTCTAGCCATGGACAGCTTAGAATGGCTACAGCTCGATCCCCTCCGCCTGGGAGCATTTCAAAAAAAAGTTCTGTACCCACTGAATCCTCACAGTTTGGGAGCATGGATGGGCCTAAATCTTTCCGCACTGGAACATCTCAGTTTGGAGGCTTTGCAAGGCCTACTTTGGTGCCTGCTGCACCTTCTCAGTTTGGGAGCATGGCTCAACCTAATCATGTGCAGTCTGCTCAATCCTCTCAATTCTCAAGCTTGGTTCAACCGAATTCTATTCCTCCTGCTGAATCCTCTCAGTTTTTTGGGAGCACGGCTCGACCAAATTCTGTAACTCCAGAATCCTCACAGTTTGGGACCATGGCCAGGCCAAATTCTATTCCTCCTGTATCGTCACAGTTTGTTAACATGCCCAGTCAAAATTTTGTGAGCGCATCCGAACCAACTCTAGTTTTGGGGTATGCACCGCAGATTGGAAGTGGCCCTCCACCTCAAGTCCAGTTAGGATGGGATTTGTCCTTACCAAGGATGGTTACTGGTGGCAACATGGTCACCTGTTTATGTATGTGGTGCAACAGTCAGTTCCATCATTTTGGCCCTATCGATGGACAGCAGCCTAGTTCTTTTGGCTTCATTTGCCCCACCTGTAAAGATCGGATGTCTGGTCAGCACAATATGCCCAACAATGGTTCATGGCAGCCTTGAGGTGCGGTGTCATTTGTTAATCATCTGTATTGCTGCATTTGTAGTTTTCTGTACACTACTCATTTCTGTTGTCTGTCAGAGGACTGAAAATTGTCTGCACAAGCAGCAGTGGACCGTCAAGGAATGAATGGTATCTGTGTCAACAGGGTCTTGAGCTGAGAGGTGGAATGCTTGAGTCAGTAGCAGGATATGCAATGAGATAAGTTGTTTTTTCTGCTACTTGTCAAAGATAGCAATGGGAGACCATGATGAATTCAGGACATCTTTTTCTTGAATCCACCAGTTACATTATGTGGGAATGTCTTCAGTTCACCGGTTGGCATTACATCTGAAATTTTGCTGCTCTCAGATGACCCAACCAATTTTCCATTGGGCTCCGAGGAACCAAGGATGTTGCCACTCAGGTAGAGCTTCCGATGTTTAGGGATCAAGCTGGCATGTTTGTCGGTTCCTCGAGCTATCGCTGGTTACTTTGAGCTCTAGCTGCGATGGGAGTGGCCTTTGTTATTGGTACTAAACTTGAAATGGCTCCAGTGGTTGTGTAAAGTATGTGTTAGCTCAGGTGGATTAGGCTCCTAGCTCTTGCTGTAATATTTAGGCTCCTAGCTCTTAGCTCAGGTGGATTGGTCTATCCTTGCTTATTGAAGTCCTGTTTAGTCAAGCTGAAGTACATTTCGAGGTAAGTGTGGCTCTAGATTGTTTGACTTAATGCTAAGAGGCTATAACATACCATAATACTGTAAGTACTACTGTTGTGCCAACAGCCCAGGGCGATCGGAGGACGGAAGGGGATGGAATGGACAGGGTCGCCATCCCCTTCATAGAATATGCCAGGAATATACCTCCAAATCGAGGACGCCTCCATCCCTCAAAAACGAGGGGGCAGGGCTCGTCCCTTTTTCATCCTCCTTGCGTAATGGCCAGGCAGCGGTGGCAGGGCGGCCGGCGAGCTTGCGTTGGCTAGCTGAGCGGCGGTGGGGCGATCGACGAGCTCGTGCCGTGTTGGGACGATCAGTCGAGCGCGCGCCGGCTAGCTGCGGCGGAGGCGGGGCGATCGGAGAGCACCCACAGGTCAGCGCGGGAGGCGGTGGTTGCGGGCAAGCGGTGCTGCTGCTTGTCCGCTGTCCGTTGGCAAGGAAGAAGATACGGAAAAATTGAGATAATGACAGTCGGGCCCCGTGTGTCGGTTAGTTTATCCAAAATTTGATGGTCGGGCTCTATGTGCTAGTTAGTTTGTCCCAAATTCTAACAAACACACGATGGGGATGGTCTCATTCTCTACAACCAAACAAGGAATAGGACCCTGCTATCCCCAAAATGGGGTTCGATTCTTGGTGGTCCCCAAACCAAACATATGCTTAATTAAATAAATTGCTCAATTCAAAACGGCTGATGAACCTACTGTAGATAGAGAGGGAGGATACACGTACTTATATCGGCATGTTGGTTCCTTGCCACACATTATTGGATATACTAAATACCAGTGCTAAACATTGTTTAGGCATCCAATTCTTATTTCATACTGTATATATGGTTATACATGTACACTACCCTTGCACAGATGGTGATTATTTAGCAGTAGCAGTAGTACATCACGTCTCTGGGAAGTAGGCCCGAGAGACACGTGCGGCACCGCCGCACCGATATGCTCCAGTTCCAACACCATCAGATCATCAGCACCCCCGGCAGATGTTCCTTCCCAATTTAAAAGTGCAACACACACGTAACACCCCCGGCAGATGTTTCTTAGAATGGCTACAGAGCCCCAATTTTTACACAGGTAATTCGCAACGATCAATCCATCTATCTTTCTAAATTATGAGCATCGTTATACGTGCAACTCATTTGTACATCTACTTTACAACTACAAATCAAAGCTGCAACGGCTTGATAGGGTTGAACAAATTTGTGGGTTGTATGCAAAATATCTTTCCTCTTCTCAGGTACCACGTATGGAGATGACCATTTATGGCTAAAGAAAGAGAATATATAACCTAGAAATTTCACCTAAAAGGCGAACATCCGTGTTTACCTTTCTTTTTTTCTTTTTCACAAAGACATATCCACTCCGCCCAAGAAAAAATGATGTTCTATATACCCCCATCTCGCTTAGCAGAAAATGGCAAAAGGAGAGTGTGGTTTTCGTATTATGCACTACGCTTAGGGGTGTTTGGGACTACTCCGTTCCACGTTTTTTTTTAGCTCCGCTCCATGTTTTGTAATCAAACGGTTTCAGTTCCACGCACTCTATTCGAGAAAAAAGGGTGAAGTTGTGAGAGCATCTAAAGAGGTGCTCCACAAACTCCAGTTTTTTTGTGGAGCTGCTTCCATGGTCGAGTTTGTGGAGTTGTCTAAAACACCCCTTACGGGCGACGACCATGACCTCATCGCGTCGTCATCATCGAGGGTGGTGGTGGTCTTGCCGAGGTTCGGATTGGAGATCAGGTGGATGGTCTGTCTCTGGCAACCGTGGCAGTGGCAAGCCGGCTGTTTAGCGTCCAGTGGCGTGGCAAGAGAGACCGTTCCTAGTACTAGTAGCAGTAAGACAACCATTGTCACCTCGGCCACGAGCACAGCAGAGCTGGATTTCACCATTGCCATGGTCATCTGTAGTGTAGAGGGAGCTAACTAGCAGGCACATTTCTTCGTGTCGATGTGTGGCCATATTTAGGTGGTGTTTAAATCCAGAGACTACAGTTTAAAGGTGTCACATGAGAGTGTTATATGGGAATGTTTAGATAGTAATAATAAAACAAATTACAGAAGTCCTCATGAATCCGCTAGACGAATTTATTAAGCCTAAGCAAGCCGTCATTAGCACATGTACTGTAGCTTCACTGTAGCACTACGCTGTCAAATCATGGAATAATTAGACTTAAAAAATTAGTCTCGCAAAGTAGTCACGATCTGTGCAATTAGTTATTTTTTAGTCTATATTTAATACTCCATACATGTGTCAAACATACGATATGATATGGACTAAACTTTAGGGGGGGAAACTAAGGACATGCACAACAGAGACACAGCTGTTGTCTGTAAATTCTTGAAATTTACAATACAGACGACTATACAGTCAGCTCGTACAACCCATAGACAGCTGCTATATGTTCGGCTGTCTATAAATCATTTAATGCTTGCATGTAGCCATATGATCAATCATGAATATTATTTTTATATATCATTGTGTTGCTAATTGATGCAAAACACAAGAGACATATAGACGTTTGACAGATTCACATGAGATAGGTTCACATTCAGGTCAAAGCTCACAAGCAAACCAAAAGATAGGTCACAAGATAAACCATATAAGTTCCATACATCCCTAAAAAACGGCAGGTTCCATACAGGTTTAAGTGAAAGATTGCCCAGTACAGAACTGAACTTGGAAGGCTTTGGCCATCAGGTCATGAACACTATGCACGAATACTAGACATGAACGAATAGCCATGACGTTTTGCAAGAACACGCACATCTGACACGACCAGGCCAAGCAGAACTTCCACGGTACATAATGGATTGCACATGGGTTGCCTTCTCCGTAAACTTAAGTTCTGAAGACAGGTCCTAAAACTCCAACTAAGTCAAGCACCGAAACACCACAAAAGGGGACGCCTGATCAGCCATCTGGAGGCTCGATTTCGGACATTCTTCGAACAAGTTGTCAAACCTGATTAGTAACTGAAAATAATAGTGTGAACATCTCCAATTTATGTGCGCAAATAATAGGTACACTGATAATGATTAGTAAGATAATGATCTTCGAAAACATTCTGTAGGTAGAAAAAATTCAGAACTAGCATAGTGTCGTTGACCGTAAGTGAAAACATTCAGAGTTGGACTAAGTGATAACATTCAGTTATCAAATCTAGTGAACTGAAACATTCAGTAGTTACAAAAAATTCAGTGATCAGTGGCTGTACACATTCAGTTATCGGTGACTATCCCAAGATATATTTTCCAACTGAATCAAGACAATATTGATAATTTTCCAACTAAATCAAATTAGCACTATCATTTAGTGAAAAATGGGGTTGGTCGTTGAATAAACCCATAAATCCACCAGGAGGATGTGTGCTTCGGCTCTATTCGGCTGCCATTATAAGCCGCCTTATCAGCTATGGTACAATATTTTTCTCTCCCAATAAATCAGTCGCACAAATCAGCACAAGCGGCTTATAGACCAGCCGAACAGAGCCAACTCATATCAAATTACTCAGTAGTTGTCCCTGTAAAAGTTTATACATGAACTCAGTAATTCTCAGTAATACTCAATGGTACTCGTATCAAATTTCTTAATGAACTTGTAATTCTCAGTAATACTCAGTAATATGTAGTAGTAATTATCAGTAGTACTCAGTATTACTCTTATCAAATTACTAAGTAATTCTCAGTAAATTGATTGCAACAAGCAGAAATGCAGATTACGAATTCAAGCAAATCAAGGGTTACTATGCTGGATCCCAATTTGATTGATGCCCAAACTGAGGAGAACTTGGACTGATGGAGCCAAATCCGACTGGGTAGCCTCGTCTGCCATGGATTGGTGAAGAATCGACGCCATCCGCCAGGGATTGAGGATGAATCGTACCAGGCGAGGGGTTGGGTGTTAGGGACGAGCTGCTTCCGCGGCTGACGAAGGCGCTGCCATGTCGTTGCTGAAACCGGCTAGATTGGGTGCTAGGCCGAGCCGCTTCCGCAAGGAAGTATGCTCGTAGTCGTCGCCGCTAGTGGCGCTGCCATCGTCTTGCTCTTCAAAGGATATGGCTGAGACATATGGAGTATATGTGAGGATTTTTGGCGTGATTTTTTCCCTCGCGCGCGCAGCTAGATCCACGCGGGTGTCGGCTCAAGAAGACGGCACCGTACAACACGAAACTGGCTGTCGAGTTTGTCTGGGAGCATGAGCCCTCGCCGTCGTCTCACGACACGACGGCTTCGCTCTCTCTCCTCGATTACTGTAGTGAACAGGGGGATTTTTGCAAAGCTTCCATTGAAAGATG